ATTTTGACAATGGATTGAGACACATCTCTTTCAACTTGCCAAAACAGGGAAAAGTAATGGCCTTTAGGAAAAGACAGACTAATGCAAGTACTGAACTGTGCAACTGTATCTGCAACTGATTTGCTGTTTTGTTTCTCATAGCACAGGTGCAGCAATGATCAATGGCTCTCAACATCCATCTTCATCATCATCTGTCAACGATGTGTCTTCAATGTCAACAGATCCAACATTGGCCTCTGATACAGACAGCAGTCTAGAAACCTCAGCTGGACCTCTGGGTTGCTGTAGATGACTACTTGGTCTTTTCGGGGGTGGGAGGGGGGTCCTTTTAGTCATTAATAGGGCACTTTTAAAATTTGGTGGTATTTTTGAGTGTTTTTTCAAAAATAATCATGAAATTCATCATAAAGTGCTGTAATTTCAAACTGTAAGTTGTGTTAAAAGCAGCCACTTTTTTGCTGTAATTAACTGTAAAATATTAAACCTGATAATTTTTATTGTGGTTTTAAAATCTGCATATTTGCTTTACTATTATGCTGCTGATCTTTTTTTACTGAATTTGTAAGATTTGTTTTATCAAAGCACATATTAATGTTGTGGTCATTAACATATAATGAATTATTTAAGATTTTATAAGTTTTCAATTTTTTAATTAGAATTTATTCCAGATGTTTTGTTCATGATATCCTTCAGAGTTTTATGCTTGGTCATACATCTGTGGTCTAGGTGGAGGGGAAGAGAATTCAGTGCAGCCAGCTGTAGTTTTGGGCATACTACTGTGGTGCTGGCAGTGAAAAAAATCCTCTTTTATTTTGGCCACTTGCCTATAATACTTCAGCAAAAGCAACAATTAGTAAGTTTTTTTAGAGAAAAAAAATCCTTTGCAAAATAACATTGTGTGAATGGGTTTATGAACATAAGAAAGCAAAGCATATCTTCAAAGCTGCAGAAATACCCAGCCTAGCAAAGTAATGTGATGTTTTCTGCAGAGTTGTGGCATGCCAAATCTTGTGATCACCATAAAACCCAAGGATACTTCATGAATAATACATTGCAATGCCAATAAACTGTTTACTTTTAGCTTGTAGCCTGTTTTTGTACACACAAAACAAAGTGTATCCAGGATGTCTAGACTGACAAAAAGGAAACTGAATATGCTGTAGCTATACTTTCGTATAAGACGTGATTCTTGGGAGTTGTGGTTCTTACTGGTTTTGTCTACTAGGGTGAGTGCTTTTTGGGTCAAAGAGGGAATGACATGAATGCAATAGGGGCAAAACTTCAGCTACTCTTTCTCCACCAAAAATACTGATTGCTAAAACCCATTAAGTGGTAGGAGAACCTCAGGATTTCTGTAGCTAATGCATTAATGAGCAATATATGCCATCCAAAGGAGGGAGAAGTAGTGCTGTATAAATTAATATTTATCTCTTTCATTTCACCATGAGATCAGTGTAGCAGAAATCTTAACAATGGTTCATTTTAAGTCATAAATATTCAGTAGTTTTCATCACCGAAGCTCCAGGCTTCTATACACTTTTTAAACAAAAGATATATTGAGATATATAGAACATTTACTAAATAGTCATGTAAGATGGTGCTGCTCATCACAGAAGTATTTTAACTGTTTACATTTTATATTTACAGAATGATTTATGTATAACTGACTTAAGTTTGAGTTAAACAATCATTCAGAATTTATTCCTTTGGAAAATGCAGATTTTTAGTGAAGCTAGGTTATATAATTGATTGCCTCGTGTAGATGCATATTTTGTGTAGTGAATTAGAATGCGAAGAGCAATTTAAATTAATAATGCTCACAAAAATGGACATAAATACAGAAGTCTTGCCAGGCACTGAGCATAAGCAAGTAATGTAACTGGCTACAGAGGTTATCCAGGAATGACTGATAGTCTTCAGTGTGGTTCCTTCTGCCTGTTGGGTTAAATAAGTATCTTTTTGAAGTTCTAACTGAGAGAGGAAAATATGTCTTTACAGTAAGTTTCAGAAAAATAGAAGTGATAGTAATGCTTTTGATATCTAACATGTCTTTTTAAAAAACATGCAGGGTTTACAAGAAATGGTAATGTCTCAAAGATGACTAAATTGATAAACTGCGCAATTGTTTTCCTGGCCTGGCTAGACTGCTGGTAAGTGCTTTGTGCATGTAATTTTGCTTTCCTGACTTGTATCTAATATTTCAATATTGCCTTCCTAAACCACATTTGTTAAGGCAATTATTTTTTCAGGATCTTGCCAAATTGTGTATTACCTCGGAATAGGCAGGACATGTTTGGATTCATCTAGCACTGGAATGTAGAAAATCTGCTCAAGTTGAACGGAGACCAACAGAACAGTCTATTTTGTAATTTTTTATCAAAGTTTAAGCTGTGAATTAAGCCAAAATTTTTGGTCATATGACAGTTCTCTGTTGTTATATAGGGTCAAATGATAGTGTGGTCAACAGTGTAATGAAGTTAAGACTGACAAAAGCAACTTCTGATGCCTCTAAGTGCTGTTAAAAACAGAATTTGATAAATATAATTCGTATTCAAATTTATTTTAGACCCCTCTGGATTACAGTGATGATTGAAATATTTTGAAACTTAAAAATAGTTTTTGCTATCACTTTCCAGTGTCCTAAATAAAATAGCCACTGAAATGAGTTTATAAGCTCTAAGGAGAATTGTGCTTTTCTTCTTTCACGGTAGGTTTAATGAATAGGTAGGACTGTCCCCTGCAGCCCATTGCAGTGTGAGTGAGCAGTTTTTAAAGGGATTGTTTTGGTTAGGTCAGAGCTTTGCCTGTGGAAACCTAGAGCTCACTTCTGGCACTGTCTTCGTAGTAGTGTTGCGTTTTCTTTTTTTTTTTTTAGGCAAATTAGTGGTGGCAAATTTCAAAGATAAGAAAGATTCAGTCACCAAAGTATCACAACAACATCCTAGTCTTAACTTTCCTTTTTATTTGCTGAAATATAAAATTACTTAAGCGATAGTTGTACACCGCCACAGATAGCAAACAAATAGGTAACTGGAGTTGAGCTGTCTTTGTCTAGTCTTTGTTAGATTATATGTTGTCCAGTACACTGTACAATTTTATTCCTAAAGTATAGTTAAGCTTTATTTTAGACTGTTTCAAAATCTTCTCATGACAATGGGCTTCACTAGAGCGCATGCAACTTCCTAGGGCTGTTCTAATCCATTGGAGAATTGGTAGGGATTGAATTACAATGAGCTGTCTGATCTCTTATGTCAGGTGAGGTTAAATGTTGGGCAATAATAATGAGATTGATTTCCACCTCCTTTGGTCAGAGCTGTGGCATGCATCAAGGATAAAACAGCACTCTCCTTTTGTAGAACTAGGTTCTTCAAGAATTTGAAATAGAATGTGGGGGGGCAGGCAGGAATGAGTACCATGATGGTGTGCTGCAGTACTGTGTTGTAAGGCCTTTTGCTGATGCAAGACAATGGGGTCAGAACTGATGTTTCACTCTGTGTTGGTGTGTGTGAGCAGCTGGGCTGGCAGATCAAAACTCTCAGGCCAGCCTGACTGTCCAGGGCAGCCCTGGTTCATTCTGCTCTGCTCAACAGACACAGCACTTGCCCTGCGTGAGCTGCACTCCTCGGGATTTTAGCTTTGAAGAACCTTGCTGTGCTGGGTGCAGTGGTATGTTTTTGGATAGGAATTCCAGCTAGATACAGAGTATCATAAATTGTTTGGTCAGGGGGGGTGTATGGGTTTGGGGAGGGGGGTGTCTGCGTATGACTGTGTCTGTGTGTCTCTGTGTGTCGTCCCCACGTTCCCACCACAGGGTGGGTGCTGAGGGGGTGCCAGGCCACAGCAGTAGCACCCCTCACTGTCTGAGGGTCCCACGGGGATGGTCCGTGCAGTCCTCTTGGAAATGGTCAGTGGAGCCAACACTGAGCACCTGGCCAGGGGCCCTGCAGGGAGGGAGGGATAATGTGGCATTCAGCTCAACAGTGCATGAAGAAAAATGGTCAAAAAGCTCCTACAGGAGGATGGTTCTACCTAGCCAATAATCCAAAGTGTGTGATAAAGTTTCTCAATTAAGATTATGGGGGAAAGGGGGGAAGAAGGTTCAGCTTACACTCAGTCTTACTCTTTCAGGTTGCTAAAGGGCATGAATTATGGTTTCTAGAAATAGTTTTGTTTGCCGTTGGCAGCAGCTTCTCCATGCTGTTATATTTTATTTTCCTATCAGTGGTTTGGTTCTTACATATTTAGATTGAGGACTGGAGTTGAAGGAGAGCCTGTCTGCATTTTTCAGTAGGATTAGAAAGAGTTCTAATGAAGAAATGTGATGAGACTGTACCGCCTACCCAAATTTTCAATTAATTTAATTCTTAGTTTAGGGCACTGGATAAAAGTGGTATTTTAAGTGGTCTCTTTCACTCCTTCCTCCTCTTTAGATATGTCTGCATTACAGAAATGTGTTATGAATCAGGTCACATTGTGTTTCTAATTCTGCAGTTAAAAATTTAAGCTAGGTTTTCTTGAACTACCTCACACGAACTTTCTACGTTTCTTAAGTAAGCAAAGCTAACCCTTGCTATTGGAACTACACTGAATGTGAATAGAAAAATACACCTCCTTTAGAAAAACAAACCTATTGGCCAATGTTGAGACAATATCAGTAAGTATGTTTCTTATATATTTCACGTAAGATGTTCATGTGTAATATATAGCTTGTGTACAGTAATGTACATCTAGAATATTGTGTTAGCTGTAAATTGGTGATTTTATTATTGTAGTCTGGTTTTGTAGGGTAAAAATAGCTTACTAGTAATGTCAGCTCATCCTTTACATTTTACAAAAGGAATAATTCTTGGTAAGCTTTGCATACAGATGAATTACTTTTGTAGGCCCAATATCTAGTCTATTTTTGAGAGTTCTTTAACTTTTATTACTAAAGTTGAGAAAAAAAATCCCACCCCAATTATTGTGATCATTCCTTCTGCCCCTTTTGAAGTATATTCTTAATTTTATTATGTCCCAAGAAATATGAAGTAGCAGATACACCATTAAAAATATTGGGGAAAACTGTAATTCTTTTTTCTTCCCCACATTTGATACTTTTTCCTGCTTTTCCTCTTCCTTTATTCCCTCCAAATAAGCTGTTGGTGGGGCATTACTGAGAACATTGTGGGTTTTTTTACTCATTCATGCCATAGGTCATTACATGTGCACCACTGGAATGTATACATTGTTATCTAGTATGTCAATTGGTTATAATGATATTTTAAATAAAAAAGAAAAAAAAAAGTTTGACCACTATGCATTTAGTGTTTCTTCATTGCTAGGCTAGAACGGTTTCATATGGATTGCATAAAAAGGCTGCACTTGAAGTCTTATTATTGTCAGTACTTCTTGAAAATTCATCTGGTTTTTAATGGTACTTCAAGTCCTGTCTTGTGTGTGAGCTCACTCATAGGCAAAGTGACATGTTTTTTCCGTTTCTCCATTCCCACTGACTTTGGATGTGCCACAGACTGTTAACAGCCACGTGTCTTTGCAACCACTGGGAATGTGTTCTTGCCTCCTTGCTGCTAGCTCTAGCCACTTTATTTCCTGGAAATACAGCTGCCAAGACCCTGTGCTGCAGAAAGAGGTAAGCTACGGGTTGTCTAGTGTATGGGACTAGAACTGAGTCTCAGAGAAGCCTGAAGGATCTGACTTCTGGAGAGCTGACTTGTGTGCCCAGACCACTTGCTGGCCCCTCTGCTGTGGGTAAATCCTAACACAAAATGCATTTGATTGCCTTCACTTCCAGCAGGGTGTGGGTGTTTCCTTGAACAAAGACTGCAGATGCCCTTGAGCTGTGCTGTTGGTGTCCCTGTACAGTTTCAAGGGAGAGGGACTGTGACTCCTGCAGTACAGTGTAGCCAGCTTTGTTTCTCTCGGCCAGCTGTTTGTGAGACGTTCTTCTAGGAATGTGGTAGGACTCACAAATGCTTTTCTTTATTTGCATGTCAGCATAAAGGGCAGCCAGTTTCAAATGATATGCCAATAACAGAGCAAGGCTGGAGAGACAATCTTAGCTCTGCCCAGGATTTGTGTGTGGGTGACTCAGGACTGAAACTCTGCTTAGTGCTGCTGGCTTCAATGGAACTCGCTGGTGAATGTAGATGATTCAGTGAGCTACCTTCGTTCATTTTCCTTTTTGTGTTAGAAATTACATGGAGACCTCCAGAAGGGTTTTTTTGTTATTCTGAAGCATTGCTGTTTTGATTTTTTTTAAAGTATATGCTTGTGTTGGGTTTTTTTCACTGAAAAGTTTATGCTTTTTTGCTTGCAAAATACTGGAAGGGAAGATTGCACAGGTGAATCTATGGTAAAAACATTTCTACCTGATTCCAGGAACCTTTTGTCGTGTTAAGTAATATTACCAACCTGTATCTTGTAAACACTTGCTAAGAAAGCTGACATTTAAATCAGGGGCTGTAATGAGCGAAAGGTCTGCAAAATAAGGATGCTTGATATGGGGAAATGAAGTGGTGGGAAAAGAGTATGGAAACAGCATTCAAAACTAGGAAAGAGTGTATCATCTTCCTCAAATAAGGGCATAGTATTCCATGAGGTGTGTACAACAGCACAGGTGGATTCCCATTTCTTGTATAATTGCCCATGTCTGGAAATGAATATTATAGTCCTGTTGCTGCACTTAAGAGTTAACATCCTACCATCGTGAATTTTAGTGTGAACTGGGTAGTTTGCAGCTTCTTGCAGGCTTTGTTTACTGCAGCATCTCATCTTCAAAAGGAGCTGGAATTTATTCCTCATGAACAAGAGGCATAGATGGTGCTGGAGCACAACAGTCAACCTGCAACTGTTTAGTTTCACTAATCAGTTTGAGTGTATACTGTTTCGTTTGTGACATTGAAAAGAAGAATTAATTTTATCCTGAATGCCAGAGTAATTTTACTCCTACAGATCTGACATATTGTCCTGCCCTGGAGCTGAAGGTTTGGGATAGGTAGGTTTGTTCCCCAGTTCTGCTGTATGTAGCAGTTACCTAAGGTTAAATACTTACAGAGTTGGCCAGCAGTCCTGTTCACTGCTTGTCTTGCATATTTGGTGTTTAGTCTCCCAGTCAGCATGGCTTAGTTCCCAAGTTTGTAGTGTTCCCAAACTAAAGGGGGCAGTCTGCACTTGATAGATATAGGAGATAATGCAGTATAGTCTAAGGGATGTGTGAGCCATCAGGATGGCTACAGTGAAAGGTTTCCACTTTTGGGATAGCAGTAAGAGAGGGCATTGAAATACCCTGGTTGTTACTACTAGTTGTATTGAATGTTATCAGTAGAAACTTCCTTTTTATCAGTCCTGATTTTCTACTTACACCCTGATTCAGACCACCCTCCAATATTTAGGTTTATTTTTTGATAACTGGCCTGGTACTGCAGCTCCATCCCACACTGTGCTCTTCCAGCTCAGTCATTGTTACAACAACTGCTTCTCTCTCACATTATTATGGATCTTAATGCTGCTGTTTTAAATGGCCATCCTATTCCGTGCAAGATCACTTGTGACCATCAGGAATAACCTAAGGCAGAGATGGAGAAGGAGGGTGGGGGTGATGCTTGTGCCTGCAGGTGGCAGGCGGGTGCTGCTGAACAGACGGGTACCTGCTGCCTCACGCCACGGGCAGGAAGGAATCCAGTGCTGCTGGAGAGCCTGGGAAGGAGGAAAAAAGCTTTGAAGTAACGGAATTGACCTGTCCACAGCTTACTGTACCACCTTGCTTGACTTGTCTTATCCAGAAAAGATTAGGTTAAAATGCTGGGGTTGGCTCCCATTCAATGGCTTACATTTTTATAAGAAGTGTTAACAGTGCAGCAGAAACAAGTAAACATCCAGTTGTTTAAATACTGAAATACCTGGATGTGAGTTGATGATGAGAAAGTTGCTACTGAAAGGTGTACTATCTGCTGGTATGTAAAAAAGCCCATTCTTATTTCCAGACAGTGAGTTATAGTCTTCTCTAGTAAGAAACAAGACTCAGGGCATTTTTTTAAAATACTTAAAATAAAGCAAGCTCTTCATTGCTCCTTCTGTACTTTCCCTTTAGCCAGTTCATGTTGTCATGACACTTTTCTGTTAAAAAACTTTCTTTTTAGAGACTCCCAAGCTGCCTCAGTTGTCAAAGATAAAGTGCCAAGAAAACATGAACAGTGTTGTGAGTGCTGGGCTGGCAGGTGAGAGTTCAAGCTGAATCTGGTGAAACAATTTTCTGTGTGCAGGCTCCACCTGGCTCAGGGTGCTACAAATGCTATGCAGAGCTTCTCAAAATCCCTTGGGAGGGAAGTCAGCCCTGGCAGGTATTTACCAGAAATTACAGCTTCATTCTAATGGATTTTTTTCTTAGTAGAAATAATGAACTTGGGCTGACAGGTTGTTTGCAATATTCCTCCTGTCCCCTCATCTCCCTGTGAGAACCACCAACAAAAAAATATAATTATGTAATGAGAAGTGATACAAGGCAGCCAAGTGTAAATTGTCCAGGGAAGGTTAAAGATAGATCCCCACCCTTCTCCCTCTACCACCCCAATGCCCGCCACCCTGACTGCACTAATTTCTCTTACCATAGGTTTTGCTATTAGAGTTTTATAGATTAAAAACCCTCGGCAGCTGGATCAGTTGGATGTCTTTTGATGATAAGAATCTTCCATATTCTACCTTGATGACTGATATTCCATATTCTATCTTTATGACATAAATCAACTCATGAATTTTTTTTTTCTTGCAGCTAATACTGGTCTATTTTTGGCTCAAAAATCCCCCAGATACCTAGGGCAAAATGTGCATATTTAAAGTTCCATGGAGTTTGTGTAGCCAATCTGATTATTAATCACATACAGTTTAATAAGTTGCATTTTTATGAAACACTGAAACTGTTTGGCAGGTAAGGGACCATTTTAGTGAACTGTCAAGATTTTGGTATCTTCAGCTTTTTTGTAGATTTTGTTTTCACAGTATCTTCATAAAATAATGCCACTTTAGGAATGAGAAATTTGAACAAACTTTATGTATGGAGTGGGGAGAAAACCACCTCATTAGAATCCATCTGGTAAACAACCCCACTGGCTGTGGTGCCAGACTGGAACTGCCATCTCCCCAAGCACAAGTGCAGGAGGCTCTCATCTCCTGGCTCAGCCTGTCCATTGGTTCTGGCCATCCACCCATGCTGCAGGACTTTCCACTGTCCTTGAGCCAGCGAAAGGATGGTGCATTTGAATCCAAAGATGGCAGGACAACTCTGGAGAAGAGTGTCTTTTGTTCTGTGGATATTAAAGGGGGCCCCTTTCCTGGCCATCTGACATCTAAACTTTCAAGCATTATGGTCACACTTTCCCAGCTTGCCCAAATACTATAGCACATGTAAAGACAACAGAGCAAGTGTCACCAATAGCACAATCACTGTAGAATTACTCATGATACATGAGTATACTGGAACAAAGTGTGCATTTTCACTCATTTTGCCAGAAATAGAAATTTCTGTGCTTGTTCTACTTGGGGACTTTAGCACTTTGACTCCCAAGAGTTAAACATCCTAATGTTGAAAAAAACTCCTCCATTTCCTTCTGCAGGAGGTAATTTCTCTTCTCAGCATCTTCACGAGCACGTTCAGAATTCCTCAGCTTGATCTCCAGCATCGTGTATTTCTTTCGTTCTTGGTCCAGTTCTTCTTCTAACCTAACGACTTGTTTCCTCAGGTCTGCACTTGTTTCTTCAATTCTTAAAACCAATGGGGAGAGAGAAAAAAAAAACACTTTTTAAGTGGGTGGATAAATACAGCTGGTAACTATAATAAATTTAAGTTGTTCCACTTAGTTCTCTCCTTTAAAACTTTCTCTTAGTTTCTAACTGCCATTTCATTAATGTTGAATTTAAGGGCAGAGACTCCTTGAAAGCTGGAGCCTTCTCTGTTTGTATCTTGAGAAAATATGCTCAAATCTTAGAAAATGACATTTACTTTAGGGTACAAGACTGGATGTCTGAGGAGATGTAGTAACTCCTCAATTAGGCTGAGTGCAAATGTATAACTCTGAAATAATCTTTTAACCTCTGTTTTCATCCTGATACTGTTTCTCTATATGGATATCCAGTACAGAGCAACATCCTGGGAGATCAGGTCAGAGTCCTTCCTCACCATCCATTTAATGGTATTTTCTGTAAAGTTTGTTGTTGACCCTGGGATGGGGTACAAGATTTTACAAACCCCAACATGTCATGTGAGGAAGAATCCGAAGAACAGTCTTTAAATTTAATCTGGGTACAAACTCTAGTGCAAGACTCAGAGCTTTTCACTAAGGATGTCAAAGAACAAGGTTCATAGTTTTGTGACTTGAAAGAAGCACAGAAGGCAAAGCAGTTGCTGTCCCCTCTGTCATGTTTCCTAATCATAAGATGGAGTTATGATGTTAATAAAGAGGAGGGAATATTTTCAGATAGGAATTTCTGATCACTAGGATATAATTTAAAAAATTAGGCTTTTCCTAGGAAAAGCGTACCCCCTTTAAAATAGAATAAATTTTAAAAAAATTATTTAAAAACCCCCAAACCCCCAAAAAAACCCCAAACATGAAACCACCCCGCCCTCACTGATACCCAGCTGTGAAGCTTACCTTTCTGTGAAACTGTGAACAGGTTATTTTTAGACAGAGTAAATTATACTCAACAAGGGCATGCTACTGACTCCATACTAAAACAAACAAACAAAAAACAAATGGGGGCTTTGGCAGTGCCAGAAGGGTCTGAATTCCATTTTGTGACTGGCCAAGATGCAATTATGCAGGCAGTGCAGTTTCTCCCCTTGAGCTGTTCCTTTACATTGTTTTACATGCAGGTAAAGATGGCAATGGGATCCTTGTCGCAGTTTCCACAAGGAATCAGAAAGTCACACACAGGTGCACTGACCTGCACCAAGTTCTGCAAAAAAGGCCCATCTTGGTGAAGGCAGACCTTTATCACCAGCCAGCTGTGGCTTCTTGCCTAATAGGACTCTTCTGAAGCTGGGTTGCTTCCCCACACACATACTGTAAAACATTTTTGTTACATTCTACAACTCTGAGCTGCCAATTACATTTTCCTACCACTAAATTTAGGGGTCAGCTACAGCAGCCTAGATTAGCTGTCTATGTTCTGAATTACAGAGGGTAACAATACCTACTACATTTCTACATACACAACATAGCAGTCCTCTCCAAGATACTTCCATTTTCTTAAGGAGTCCAGGTGGTAAACGTGAATTACTAAAACTCAACAGAGAATGTCTGATAATTATATTAACCTTGAGGGAGAAATGCTCTGGAACAGGCTGGTTACAGGCAGGCCATAAAACTTGCCTCCCTCTGACTAAGAGAGAAAATAGGCAGTTGATGATGAGAAATAACAGCTTTTCCATCAGCAAGTGTTCCTTACATCTGCCACAGGCAGGTAGTGACTCTGCTTTCCCTCCACTTATGTATGTGCCAACAAAAAGCTCATGTTCTTTCATTAAAACTTGTCCTGCTACACACACAGAGTTCTGCAAACCACACAAGCACATGTACAACTGTAAAGCAATAAATTATTATTTTTGGGGACTAAATTATCTTCAGTAAAATAAAGACAGTGAGGCAGCCTAAATCTTTCCTGCTAAGCAGCCTCCCTTCTTTGCTAGTTAGCTCTTTCCACAGAAACAGACTTTCATGCAGTCTCAAAAGGAACATATTTTTTCACATGTAAATTGCTGCAGATGTAGTAAAAACATTGCAAAATTTTTGAGAGCTGAAAAACTTGGCTTGAAATTCTTAGACTTGACAGCACAATCCTTCAGGCTGTAATCCTAAACAGCTGGAGTCATCCTGTTTGATACATAAAGGCTGTGATTGCATCTTGCCTGGTTTTATGAAACTATTAGTTCATTACGCATTTTCCTCTCAGTTACTTTGCCCTGTGAGACCTGGGCAATTTATAGCCCTCCCCTCCAGCCACAGTGCTCTCTGCCCTGTCCAGCTGAAGGGGAAAGGCAGGTGTTAGAGTTGAAGCAGCTGGAACTGCTCAACAGCTGGAATGAAGAACAGGTCTTCCTGGATGCCCCTGATGTTCACAGCTTAAGGCCCTGTTGGAGCAATTTTAGTAATAAGAGGTGGAAAGCCATCTCTTCCCCCAGGCAGCAGGTAAGAATGTGCAGCCTGGTGTTTCTGTTTATTACTTTCTTTCCCTGCATCAAGGCTTGCCAGAGCAGCTCTGCAGAATTAAATGCAAGGCACATACCTTCATCTCCTCCCATTCTGCATCAGTAGGGCATCTAAAAAATCCAAATAAGCCATGAACTACCACACTCATTCAGAGACCTTTTCCAACACCCCATGCTAGCAACTGGTGATGTTCTCATCAGCTCCTGTACCTGGAACACAAGGTGAGGGTAGGCTTTTCTCCCACTCTGTGACGGAACTGAAACTGCTACACAGCCTCTTTTTCTTTTCAGCTTCACACACCAAGGCAGGACAGTGCACGAGGCAGAAATGCTGCAGAGGCTGGCAGGTCACCACACCATAGGAAATCATAAAATAAAGCAGGAAGGTAGCAAGTAGAATTCCTGCCTTAACAGCTGGCCCACAGGAAGACATCAAAGTTCAGATACATTTCTGAGAAATTAATTAATTAACAAGAAAAAAAGTGGCAACTAATGCAGCCTGAAGCTGTGCTATACTATGCCAACTGTCATACTTGCTTTTGGTACCAGGTTTGGGAGACTGTAAACTGAGGTATGGAAATGCTACCAGAGTTTTAATAATTGAAGGAGTATATCAACTCCTTCAACAAGTATATATATCAACAAGTATATATATCAACACCTGAATACAAAAAAAACAACAAACCCTGAGAACTAAACGATTAGTAGAAAAATGGGACTACAGCCCTTCTTCAGTGCTTTCATGTGAATATTTCCCTGAGTGCTTGCCTGAAAGTCATTGTATTAAGCACATACACTCATAAAACCTAATATACCAACTCCCACAAATGAATAAATATGACTTCCTAGTTCTTAATATTTTCTACTTCCTACAACAGCCCCTGTCCTCTCACACAGCTCTCCTGAAAACTAGAGGAATTTTTCTGAGCTCAGCTCTTAAGTATAACACCAGCAGTTGTGCAAGGAAACACCAGTGGGCAAATAATGACACAGTTTGCTGTCTGCTGCACAAGCTGCAGCTCGCTGCTACTCCAACCCAGGGGCTGCCACGGGAGCCAAAGACCACTTTTTACATAAAAAAACAAAAGCAAGGTTTCTAGAAGTTTAACACAAAAGGGCTGCAGAAAAAGTTGTAGGTGAGATGCAGTCCCAACACTACAAAAAAAATCCACTGCAGAATAGTCAAGAGCAGTTTCCTCAAGAATGTTCCTGTTGGGAAAAGCAACAAGAAGCCCTCAATTTCAGACTGATTTGGTACAAATACTAGCACCTGCACAGACCAACAGAGTTCTTTGTTGAGGCCTGACCACGCTGGGTCCCAATTCCTGCCTCTAAGATTTGCTGTTTCTCTGAGGACAGTAAGAGGAGACTTTGGCATTACCTGTGCCGTTCTCATTTCCACTGAAAACACAGAATGTGAAATACTGGATTTCCCTGTATGGCAGAAATCCCCTTTTTTTTTTTTAGTGACCTCTTAGGTCAGAGAAAGAAAAGCTGGATTCAGAGAGCAGTGAGGAAAAAGCAGGACCAGATCTGCTGTCATCTAAACCCAAACTTCATGTCTGAGATCCTGATACCCTTCAGAGCTCATGCTCAGACAGGGCTAATGTTGGCAGACAACTTCCTCGTCCCCCCTGCAGATGACATTACCTTTTGATACTAGTCTCATACTCAGTCCTCTGTTTGCTCAGTTCTGTCTTTAGCTCCACCACCAAGCTCTGTAAGGCCCTGGAGCATTGGACAGAGTCTCGGGAAGCTGCAGCTGGGTCGCTCTGTTCGCTGCTGCTGCTGCTGCTGCATGCATCAAACCTGTCCATGCTGTTTTCCAGGTCTGCAGTCTTGCCCTCGCTCTGAGACAGTGAGCCCTGAGTTATCCACTCGGTTTTGAGAGAGCTTAAAGCAGAAGAGTCACTGGCCCGGCAGGCTGGGCAGCTGCTGACTGAGTCCATCACGGAAATCTCACATGACGACGTTGACCATGTAGTGCTGGCCATGCTGTGTGTGCTGAGGGACAGGCTGGATGAGGGGACGTTGTCGTAAGTGGAGAGTCTCTGGGAGGAACATGAGTCTTTAACTCGCTCCCCAGATGCTGTCCGGCGGTGGCCTCGGAGTGAGTACAGTCCGTTCATCAACCAGTTCCCGCTGGAGGAGAGATTGGGGATATCTAAGGATGAGCTGCCGAGCTTTGGACTCACAGACCGTGCTCCCTGCTGGCGGAAGGAGTATTTCCATGGAGGCAGTGTCTGCACTCTTTTACTGGGGCTGGTGGCAGGCTGAGTTAATTTGCCACTATGCTCTGGAGGAGTGTTTCTCACTGCAGGTCCTGGGGTGGCCTCTAGTGCCACAGCATTGCTAGAAGGCAAATCAGCGGGACTGGGAGCACTGTTCTCTGACCTGTCCTCCCCGTCCTCCTCAGAGATCCACTCCACAGTACTGCGCTGCCGCACAGGCCTGATTTCCAGCTGGCTCCCTGGCACGTCTGCCTGAGGAACAGCAAAGATTCGCCCCTGTTCACTTATCAGCACTGTCATCAGGTGTTGAACTAGTGAGGTGCCTGTGGGTGGAAAACAAAGGCAAGCAGTTGAGGAGAGGTGAAAAGCCCTCCCAGACTCATCCCCAGCCTGTGGGATGTCCCGTGAGCTCCTCTGAGGCCTGTGGCTGCCATGCCTTTCAATGGGTCTGCACAAGGAGCTACTCTGGGCCTTTCTATACAGGACTTCGAAGGAACAGGAGTCATTGCTTTTGCTGGAAAGTGGGACTGTGAAGGATGTGGGTCTCAGTTCAGTTCATGAATGTAGCTGACTAGCAGAGTACAAATTATCACTAGCAGTGATTAATAAACTGACCTGCTTAAGCAGGCTGGAAGCTTAACTGACCTTGGAGGATGACAGAGGTGGAGGACACCTGGAAAACAGGGCAGGTCTGTACCACACCAGGCATGGGCTTCAGAGCCAGCATCAATCTCAGTGTTTGCATCCATGCAGCATAGTGCAGCCCTGTGCGGGGATGCATGGCAAGATCCTGAACACACTAACCTATTCGCTGGGATGAAGCACCTCTCCGTCCAGCTTCCAAAACCAGCAGGTTTACACAGCTAGGTTGCAGTCAGTTTTATAGTCTGAACAGGCCCAGAGCTACTGCTTATTGAAGAACCAGAAATTTCAGCTCAGGCCTTCTGCTGCACTCAGTGTGCAGAGAAACTTGCAGAAAGTATGACATTTGCATGATACTCACAGAAGTTGTACAGCAAGTGCAGAAAGTACTTGAAATTATTTAAATCCACAGAAATGAGCTATCATTGTTTTCCAGTAGTGGAGCCAACTGTTATGAACTAATGAGAACACCACACTTACCAAACCTAATACAAAGCACTTCCTACAAAAGAGAAAAACCCTTAAAAGAGTGAATATGCCATTCTATCTTTAAGTATTAGCTAAAATAGAGAATAAGACCAACATACTCAGGCGTTCAAGACAAAAGCCTGATTTTAATGATGACATTTTGGCCTGACAGCAAGAGGTACTGAACTCACCTACCACTTCTATTTTATGTCTGTGAACGCAGGAAGAGAAATAAAATGTCTTGAAGATAAGGGCATTCCTAACAATTTAGCTGTCAAACTTCAGATATTTCTATTTTAAATTCATGGTTTAAATTTGAAGAGAGACACAACTAGAGCGCTTTTGTTAAGATCTGGGTGCAGTATTTTACTTTACCAGTTTATTTAGCAGATTGAAATTATCCTGAAGCTAAAAAAAATTGAGTCTGTACACTTCCCTGTTATTTCTATCTAATCAACCTTCTATCCTCAACTAAAAATTAAACAAAACATTGCTATTGCTGTTGTTATTAGTATAATGATTAAGTAAAAAAATCCAGCCTACATATCCCAATTTTTCTACAGTTCAGATCTACGTCAATACAGAATTCCAGGTCAGATCACTGTAGTGTTTTTAGATGATGATTAGGAGAGACCAGGAGACCACAGCATCTGTGGCACCCGTGCACCTACACACAATACAAGCACCTCTGCCATCAGATGAATGGCATAATGAAATGCCTGAGGTGAACTGAACCCAGACTTGTCACCTGTGCCAGCTGAACAAAGAGCATGCTGTTGGCCCAGGCTGTGAGAGCCGTACCAGCGCTGGCCCAGTGGCCACTAGGGGAAGTTACAGCATCACACACAGGCTGATTTCAGCTGTCCCCACCTCTCTAATAGTGAATAATCAGCATGTGCTCCCACGCTCCCTTCTCCTCCCTGGACTTTTGTACCTTCCACACTTTGAGGAAGTCTCAAATCTACCCTTAATAATATGGCCCACATCTCTGTGGTAGGTTTTGAATCCCTGAACAACTAGAATATGTCAGGTCATGCTCTGAAGTTGTCCTTACAGTGACTTGCCATTATGGGCAACATCTGCACATCACCTGTGCAGACCTAAAGGCACTGCTGCTACTACAGCATAACAATATTGGTGTTCTGTGAAGGATTTCCATCACGCAGAACACCACATCAGCTGTCCCCTACAGCTCAGGAGCAGCACCAGAGCCAAGTTCAAACATCCTGGGCACAGCATCTCTATCTGTGCTGCTGCTGCACATCTGTGCAGGCTTGCCAAGAGCCCACAGAACTCAATGCAAAGACCCTACTAAAGCCTGCACCACAGTATTTGTGTTCCAGTGCCACCTGGGAGAGGAGCTGCTTCCCAGCCCTAGTGTCAGCCTACTCGACCCATACAGAGGCAGATGATTTTAAAGTTTCAGATTTTTACATCCAAAATTAATGATTTTCAACTCATTTCTTGGATTCTGTGAAGTTCTGACCCATATACAGTCTGCTTAGAAAACTACACTTCTAAGACACCTAGTTATAGCCACTGTGGCACAGCAAAAATTACAGTCCTCTCATTGTGGCCTGGATGTTCTCTACAGGTTGCTGTATAACCACTGAAATGCACCATTGCTAAATGACAGCAGTTTGGTACTTAAGCATGGTCCTTCTGAAAAACATGTGAGCTTTCATTTTAGCAGTAGGTTCAAAAAGAGTTTCCAGGTGGCAGAGGCATCTCCACATAGTGGAGAGACACTCCCAGACCAGCAGCAAATGGAGTAAGAGAGGCCAACCAACACACCCCCTTCATAGGCACTGATGGATGGCTTGACTTGTTCTGACTGTGCAGCTACAGATCAGCTACCAACAAACGCATGACCTACAGCTCCAAAGCACAGCTGCTGTGCTGTCTCACAAGAGCAGTACCTACCTTCCATCATGGTCACCGGATCTTCCATTTTGGGACGTAATATATTTGGTCCAAATACTGTAGCCAGGTTCTGGACACTCATCTTGTTAATGCTGGAGTGAGCCTGAACTTCATCGAGGAACCTTGAAAAGCCCCCCCAGAAAAATCAAAGGAGGAGGGGAATAATAAGTAAGTCACTTCTTAGACTATAGGCATTCTGGGGCAGGGACAGTTTAGTCTTACTTTCATACAACCCTGACACCTGAAATGATTCTGGGGACTAACGCAGCCTAAATACTCAGTAATCACCCCAGATCCCTTTTAGTGTATGAACTAGAGAAGACAGGATGGTTTCTGTCAGAAGTACCCATCTAGCAGGGATCCAGCCTTCTACTGGGTCTGAAAGGACAGCTTTTTGCATTTTTATAGGAATTCTCCAATTACACAGATTGACTTTACATAGTTTTCACTTACAGACATAACAGAATTAAAAAGACATTTCACTCTTCTCCTTGTCCTAGAACTAGCAGCCTGTGAAAAAGGCTTGAATTTAACAAAATACAGATCACAGAATCATAGAATGGTTCGGGTTGGAAGGGACCTTTAAAGATTATCTCATTCCAACTTCCGGATAAAAAGGCAGCCCAAAAACTGGGAGAATCAGCACAGAGATGAGGGGAGACAAGGCTGTGGAGTCCCTGGAATCCAAGAGGAAGCTACTCCTAACCACACTTCCAAACCAGAGCAGATGCCAGACTGGCTGTTCTGACTGCATCTGCTACTCAGCTTGTGTCATAAATTTTCCAAGTGTGCAATACGTAGAAATAATGTCTTTCTTTAGTGGTCTGTAAGTACTTCTGAAATAAACAATATAATACATTGGTATCATTCATGCCTGCTGCCAAGGCTGTGGGTGACAGCAATTTGCTTGGCTGATGCTCTTGGATAAACCAAGAGCTTCCTTCAGGCAGGCTGTTCGTTCACCTCTGAATGTTTTATAGGAGCAGTAACTTACACGTAAGTGATGTCTGAATATTCATACATTCAGAGTATATTATTTGCATGTAAGCCTCACGAAACTTAAAGACTTTTCCAAGTGTTAATTAATTTCACTTACTTGCATATGTATTTGAGGAGGTTGTAGTTGGCTTGTGGCAAATTCTTCACCTGTTTAACCAGTTCCTGGGTTCCCTGAGGGACAGGAAAAACAAGAAGGAGAGATATTAATGCAAATGCTGCAAAGCAGACGTGACTTTCCTTCAGTACTACAAAGTCCTCTTTCCATGGTCAAATGCTGCATAACAGCTGACAACACAAGGACGCTTCGCTTTAAAAGAGGTGTCACCTAATGCACTGTGCATTACCAAAAGAAACCACAATGTCCGGAACTTGACTCAGTTCTCAGTGGAAATCCTCCAGTCAACTTTAATGGTTGATGTAGAAGCCTTCAATTAGTAAGGCCTGCCAGCCTTCAAAACCTGCCCACTGGCATCAGTGGCAATGTACCAGCAGATGTGCCTTTGCAGGACGTGGCCTATTTGAAACTTTGAGGCATCGAGTGCAGTACAAACACATCGCAGTAATGCTCAACTGGAGCAGAGGAGAGCTTTCCTTGAAAAAGCTAAATGACACTCCAACTACCTCCTGTTTAATTACATACTTCTATTTGCAGTCATTCTGACCGGGAACCTACTTCCTCACAAAATTTCTGTTTTCACATTAAAACGTAAGATGAGACATCAGCTGAATGAATGACTTAAAACCCTGAAGCTATTTAAATCATATAATGAAAACCTCTGACTCAGAAGGCTATTGTCCTGCTACAGTCCTAAGTATCATTTGCTTCTTCCTGTCAATGCTGCAGTTGCCCTGGATATTTGCTTATTTCGGGGGACAATTAAACCTTTTGTAGAAAAATAGATACCGAAGCACAATTACGAAGAGCGATAGCTGCTAATGAATGACAGAGGGCTGCAAACTAATGATGGAGACATTCTAGAAGCAACTGGTTCGGGGCCAAAGAAGTGCAGTTGGACATTCATTTCAAACTCTCCTCAATTTATTAAGGACTGTTAGGGAGGGAATTCTGTTGGCCAGACTCTTGCAAGATCTTCCTGATTTCTCTGGTCCAGATAAGTCAGAAATATCCAGAGAGCAGTCTCTATCCTACCTTTCTCCTTAATGTCCTAAATGTATAGGTACTTCTTTATTCTGTATGTCCCACCACAAAAAAAAAAAAAAAACAAACCAAAAAAAAACCAAAAAAAACTTCTCCAGTAAAAACCTAAAACACAAAACACAATTCTTAAAAGCAGCAGGTCTTTTTTAATTCCTTAGCTTAAACACCATGCTGTTTTAACAGTGACAACAATGGAGACAGCAATAAAAGGCCAGTCGCTTTTGAAAATCACAATCTTCTTTTTTAACTTCTGAAAATTTCTGAATCAAGAACAGCTGCTACTGACGTGAAGGTTAAGGTCAGTTGTTCAGGTCAACCAGCTTTCAAGTGACAAGTTTGAACTAGAAATGGGTGAGCTGACAGACCTAATTCCCTCTTGAATTTTGCTCTGTAACCCAATTTATTTCAAATAAGGAAATCAAGATGGTATTTGGCACTATATTTCAAGTACTCTGAATTAAAATACCATAGCTCCACTGGAAGCAAGAGGAGGCTTTAGAAAGAAAACTGCAGGCAGCTGTGAACAGCAGGGAACATGACCTAAAGATACAAGATGCTACCTGAAAGAAGAAAAGGTTCTAAAAATTTATCATTCATCCTCTGTCACAAGGAATCTCAAACATGGTATTATACAGAAAGTATCTTCATATTTATCAAGGTAGAAACACCTGCCAGGTTAAAAAAAGCTTTCTCTCCTACTGCAGCATTTATAAGCTGTGCCACAGATTTCTACCCACCAACCACTTGAACTGCAAGAGGGCAGAAGGCTAAGCCTGGTAACACCACAGCAAAAGCGTAAAGGAAAACACAAGCTCGAAACCGCTGAATTAACAAATAGCACTGACCATGCTATGGCTGCAGCCCAGCAAGCAACACAAGCACTGCACTGTTATTCATCGTGGGATTTTGCAGTGATAACTCTTACCTCCTTGAAAATGCTGCTTTCCAACGAATTATCCCAAACCCAAGGGTTTTGCACTGTGTGTAACAGATCAGCACCAATTTGGAGCTTCTAGTTTGGCTGGAAAACTAGTAACACTTTAGGTGCTCATCCAAATTCAGATCCCTCTTTAAAAACTCAAAGCCATGTGTTCAATCCACTGAACTGCTGTGCAACTCTAGAGTACAGGTAGCAGTGAAGGCTGAATACTACCATGTCAAGTCAGCTCAGACTCAAATGAGTTTTTAGAAATTTGAAGATCTCTCTTTCTCTAAAATTGTTTTTAATTTTTGATCCCTTCTCCAAATCAATCGGGATCAGAATCAAATCTCTTTTAATGCTGCAGTCCTGGTGAGATACCTGGAGACCTCAGCACAATCTAAGGTCTCTGTTACGTTTCTGTTTGCATTTGAATACCAGAGATGAGTTGGATACAGAACGAAGAGATGAAAAGCAATTTGAATGAAAAATGGAAAGCTTAGCACAGTGCTGGAGTTAGGCCAAGCTAAAATCATAGTAATTTCTATCCACAATCACAACGTAGCAGCACAAGGTGCCAAAAGTTTTATTCGAATGGCTAATTTGCCTTGGGTTTTATTGGGTGAGGGGGGGAGAGTGGGCGTGTAAAACTAAAGAAACTGATATTTCAAGTTCCAAGTAAAAAATGAAAACAAAATAGTACTTCAAACTAAACACCATGCTGTTCTAACAGTGACAACAATGGAGATAATTGTTTTAAATAATGTTTTATTCTTTAATAAATATGTTTTGATTTTTAAATTCCCTGCTTATCATTATGTGTTACAAATTATGGTTTCAATGAAACCACAGTTTCTAGGCAGGGGGATTTTCCATGTGGGAGGCGGCGAGTCAGGCCCCACAGGCTAGGTATGACTTTGTGCTACATTCTGCTCCACGTGCTACTGTGCACGTACAGCATCTCCACCCTTGGTGTGGGCACTCCACCTTCCTTTCTGAAAAAGTAAACAGTCCTTGCTAAGGTTCCAGATTTTGTTGAAAAATAAAATTGCTTATGTTTACAACAGCAGCTTAACAAAACAACTCTGTGCTAGGACCAGTGCTGTATTTTGTAAGCTTTCATTTTGGCTATCTTGTGCTCCCCATCACCTTTCTCATCCAAAGAGAATTCTGCACTACAAATCATTTGAGTCTGACCTTGCTCCCACAGAAGCAACACAGATGTTGCTTCCCAACTGCTGCAGCCTGTGCAGGCAAAATCAGGCAAACAACGTAGTTAATAAGCTGAGAGAGATATACAATTATGTTTGCCCAATTTGGCAGTGTCTCTACTCTTGTGCAAGAGTGCTTAATGGATCCAAAACTTCTCAGTCTGCACATCTTATGACCAAAATGAAACCAGCTCCACTGCCTCAGAAGTACTGCTGTTTCTTGTGAAATAACCGCTGTGTGGTCTGTAACACAGCACCCTGCAGAGATGCCTGAGCTCACTGAGGGTAAGGCAGAAAATGAGCAAGTTTTGGAGCTAGTAGACACATATCTCTACCTATGAAAAGACAACACTAGTGCACTGACACACTGATGTGGCTGTGTCCAGGATGCAAATGCATATTCACCTGTGGTAATATACTGTGCCATGCACAGAAATTTGCTTTCTTGGAGCTGATTGGAGGTTACATCATTTGAGTGTTGAGAGCAGTAAACTTGCCTTTTAACCATAAAATCTTATATTACCACATATGCTACATTTGAGGCGCGCAAACAAGCTTCTTCATATGGGCATCATAAAGGACAATCTCCCCAGATCCTTCTGCCACTTGAACTGAAGGTGAACTCCAGGCTCACAGTGAGGAACAGAATCCCACCAAAGACAAAGATGAGCATGCTCTTGAGACCACACACAGAAAACAGAACTGTGGACTGCAGCTTACAAGCCCTCAGGTCTTTGCCTCTTTAGCAAAGGAAAGACACCAGTAACAGCCCTTACAGCTTCTTTAAATTTCTGTTTTAGAAAGTGGCACAGTTCCACCGCATCAGACCAGATCCAACGTGCCTCTGCAGACAGCAAAGGACTAAGGTAAGAAGAACAATATGGATGAAACCAATCAATCAATCATATTGTAAATTATCCTGCTCCTCTCAAGCAGTGAATCAAAATTTCCATGATTGCCACAGACTTGATGATTTTTGTCAGCCCCTTTCCTTGCCTGGAAACCAAAGAGAAGAATATCATAAGAAGGTTCTGGCAAAGTATTCATAGCATTATTTCCCTCCCCATTTGGGGATAATAGCATAGTCTGCTCTTTTGTAGTGCCTTTCCTCTAAGAAATACAAAGGCCATTGCACTGATCACTGTCTCATCCACCAAAAACTTTGGGAAGCAGAATATGTTGTTCTGATATTTGAAATGGAAAACACAGGAAAAGGGAGTGACTTTATACAGACTGCTAATGAGTTAACAGCAAGGCTGGGAAAGGAACCCATACCTCCTTCCTACCTTGCATCTCTTGCTGATTATGCTACAGAACAGCTTTGTTTAGAAAAAAGAAGCACCAGGCTAGCTACAAGACTGACTTCAAAAAAAGCTCCTGTTTCAAGCAATAGCCTGTGACAATAGCACCCAATTCACAGCTTCAGGAAAATTCAGAGAAAGGTTCCCAGGGACTTCACTGATTTAAATCAAGATTGAAGAATGATGAGAAAAAAAATTATACTACACTGATCTGGGGAACAACCTCTGATGTAGAAGGAGACATATTAGAAGGATCACTGACCTCTCCTTCATCTTTTGAGAGTAGCTGTCCACAAGAAAGAAAGTCTTCATATTTGGCAAAGGGGATGACAGGCTCTGGCAGCTCTCGAAGGTAAAGCTTCAGGAGGGACGCCACAGTGTGAACATCTGTGTTGCTGCAACAGAGAAGAGGGAAGGAAATTTAGAAACCCGCATTACTGTAAAGTTTGATGCCTTTCACTTGGGGTGCATCAAGGTCCCTCTTAGGGACAGGGACAAAGTTGGCACATGGAAGGAAGCTCTTCCACCACATGTTTCTACTAGACAGGATGGTCTATCTGGAAACAAGGGAAATCTCCCATTTTGTCAAGATATAAATGCACCTGAGGCAACACAGGCAGTGGAAGGGATATGCCCATGACACTGCTTCAGGTAGGGTGGCACTGCGGTTCCTCAGCCAATGTGGATCAGGAATGCGAGCAATACAGTCCAGGCAAGTGCACAGTGAACACACAGCATTGATAATAGAGCTCAGCTCCTGATTCCATGAAACATAAGCTCTTAGCCTCCCACTGATCCTTCCTGATACTCTCCCCAGCCAGCACACACATACATGTGATGGGCCAGGCTCCCAAGTGTCCTAGTCAATCGTTAGGAAAAAAATGGAGGAAGCTGGATTTCCTCCAGGTCCTCTACTGGCATTTGGCATGACTGCCCGGCTTGTGGGTCACATCCCCTCCCCCAGACTGGGGTATCTGGCATTTCCTAGCACATCTGTTATGATAGGATATCGGCTTTTATTTTCTCTCCCAACCCCAGAACTTCTTTTTCCTCTTTTCTCTCCTTTTCTTTAAGTTGGGTTTGAGGTGTTAGATAGCACGATGAAGATGCATCTGTTCTTCCCTTTCCAGCTATCCAGCTTTTGGTGTATGGCAATACCTCTCCCTCATTTCAAGTTTCCTGTTTTACAACTTTGTTAATCATTGCAGGTGACCTCCTCAAAGGTTTTGAGTGTTGGAAGTCTAAACAGGTTTTGTCACCAGCTCCTCCCTACCCACCATTATTCTGGCAGTCTTTAAGGAAGAGAAAAACACATCATAAACATTGGGCAAGGGAACTTCAAATCTCTCTGCTATCCAAAATCTGAATCTCTTCTACTTAGTATACTTTTAAGCATTTTTGGAACACACGGCTAAAACAAAACTGGAAAAATTACAACAGGAAGCTGTCAGCAGATACCACTTGCTTCTAATCCTGCTAAAGCTATTCCTATTAAACAGCTCCACCATATTTGAGAATACCACAGTTTCACATAGTGGTTTTCTTCAGTTGATTATAAACATTCTACAAATGAGATCAGTACCATTATTCATTATTCTTTTTTTTCTTTAGTGCAGACTTTCAGGCATGGATGGTGGATATGACTATCACAGAGCAGCAGAGCCCAGACTACAGCTTCAGGGCTGCTGGCTGCAGTAACTGTTTCATCCATGATGCCATGTGAAATCCAGCCAAACTTTCAGTGGCATGAAAGTGCAATAGGAGCAGACTGCTGTAGGTGCTTCCAAAACAGCAACACCTGGCCTTTCATAAGAACATGCACATGCATTAAAAACCCAAATTGGAAAAGCAAGCCTTTTAAAAATAAATATTTTAATTATCAGTCATCACAGAGATCTGATCCACCACGGGGCACGCAGGCTCTGTCTGTCTGGAAGATCACTGTAGTTACAAAAGACACCTACAAGTGCTGACTGCAACTAGGAAATAAGAAAGGATATTCCTTTTACTACACCTGATTTGGAAAGAAGCATAAAGATTTCACACTTCTGTTGCCTAAGCATCCCAGGCCATACCTAGACAGTTTTAGTTACACGCAGAAAAAGTTACGTTAGCTAGGAGGAGGAACATTTCACTTAGCCAGAGTGTAACTGCCTCTCCCTTGTTGCTATCTGTGACTATACATATACATAAGATAGATTATATATACACAAGACCAGAGAGAGTTGGGCCTGCAAGTTGCAGTGGACATGGTGGAAAAAGCAAAAGGCAATAACTGGGAGACTCACAACTATCACACCAGTCAGGTAACCCAGGGAACTCTCAACTATCACACCAGTCAGGTACCCCAGGCTTGCTTCCTTTAATTCTGTACTGAACCTTCAGTTATCATATCACACATCGACTACCTGAAAGGCAGCCATTCCTTTGTGGAGATCTCTAGTTAAAGGGGAGACTTAGATGCGGAAAGCACCTTTATTTTCATAGGCATTTGCACTGGCTAAATAGATCAGTGCCGAGGGTGGTGAGGCACTGGAACAGGTTGCCCAGAGAAGCTGTGGATGTCATCCCTGGAAGTGTTCAAAGCCAGGCTGTATGGGCTCCGAGCAACTTGTTTTAGTGAAAGGTGTCCCTGCCAATGGGAGGGGGTTGAAACGAGATCATCTTTAGGGTTCTATTCTGCTTTAAAAATGCTGGGTGGAGGCTTGGCTTATCTTTGTAGCAATGAAGTTAGTATAGATAACACTAAAGTAAAACATGAAATTGAAACTGTCATTCCTAATTAACTCCTTCCATAGATACTCCTGTTCCACAGGAGTATAATTGAATGTGTATAAGCATTCAATTAAGATAATTCTAATTCTGAACAAGAACACCCAGACATTCAATTAAAAATACAAAGATTTTTTTTTAAGAAAATATTGAGACAATTTAATGATTTCAAACTTATTTTTTCATGAAAATATTTCTCAATGTTTGACACATCCATTTAGGAAGCAAATACTGTCTGTGGTTAAGAATCAAAGAAATGAGGATGGGTGGTCTGGGAAGCTGAGGGAAGGGAAGAATTAGAAGAATGTTCCAAATAAACTCCAAAGATATTCTTCCCAAGATGAGACCAAATACTGTTTCTGCCCACGCAGGAGAGTTCTAGCTCTTCCTGGATAGCAGGCAGAGAAGTTATTGGCAATGTTGAAACTGGTTGCAGGTCCAAGGGAAGTGATCCCCTAAGGTTAATGTGCTGGTAATATATCAGATGCCACCTGCATCACCTGGAAAAATGGTGCTAGTGAGTTCCAGCAAGAAATGATGCCAGGTCTCCAAGACAAGATCCCAGATCTGATCTCACTTATGGACCTGCGAGACAGGGATCAGGCCAGATCTACAAAATGGCCTTGGATCCAAATATGCCTGAATGGTCTCTGCTAGGGTCCAGCCCTATTTCACAAAGCATTATTAAGGTTAGCACAATGCTGACCTTCACTCTGGGCAGCATGTACATGTGACAGAGTAGAGGAAATGTTAATTACAGGGTATGGACAGGATTTGACTGGAAGGGCCCTGAGAGCATTCACCTTTCTGATCATTTGACTGCCTGAGCTCAGGGCCAACATAGAGATAGCAGAGCTGAGAGCTGCCCCTTCCCTGGCTGCCCTTGGATGGAGCGCTCAGAGACAGGTCTGACACTTCCCATGGGAATGGATACTAAGCTGAGCATAACAGTCTCTGGCATAACAGGGAAGATGTGTGAGATGGTGGTGACTATTCTGAAACCTGGTGACAAAGGAAGAGTCGAGCTATTGCCCCAGGCAGATCTGCTGTGTTTGTGACAAGGGAGAATGCAACATCTGAAAGCAATGAAATACCTAGTTCACCCCTGTCATACCCCTTTCTATGAGGGGATCCCACCAACTGCACAGTATGCTGCACCCAAATCTAGCAATGTTTTTCATTCAACACATGCTGAAGCTGAAACACTGGAGTAGCCCCATATAGATTAATGAGCCCATTTTTCCCTTTGCTCAAGCACTGAGCTGAGTAAAGGCCTCCACACCCAACACCATGCATGAGAAAGCTCCATCAGCATTTTAAATAAAGAGAATGGTGGTGTGGAAAGAACACATAAGCCAGGATAGCCACAGCAAGGACATTCCTGGCAGATTTTACATGTCAGAAATACACTAGCCTGAATTTGGTGAACTCACCTGTCAAAAAGGGGTTTCTCTCCACAATCAAAAGAATCCTGCAGATCTTTGACAAGGTTGGCTTGTCCAGGCATCCGAAAGAGCCCCTCCTCTGTAAGACCTCGCTCCCGAATAAAATCCACACACTGTTCCACCAGCAGCGGGGCCAAGCGCTGGCCATACTTCCGCTCGTACTGTACGGTGTCCTCCAACCGCTGTCCAAAGATCCCTGACAGCAAAGAGCAAGAAAGACATCTGGGTGTCAGCTTAAACTCCTCTTGAGCTACCGCTCAGGGCTTACAAAGGGGGGAAACTTTCACATGGAGGGGGGAGCCTCTGTGAAGGCCCAGTTTCCAACAGACTCTGAAGAATAAAATTATTTTTAAAAGCAAGAATTATATGATGAATGATTTTTTTTCCCTCTTCTTAAGAGTGCTTCAAACTATCCTCTGCCCTAAGCTAGTTCATATCTCATACACAAGGAAGGTGGGTTTAAGATTATGCTTATGGTAATCCACATCTGTGCTGAGTGTGAATTAAGTAATTATACTTTTATTGCATCTTCTGTCCTAAGAAGACCAAAACAAAGGCTACACTGATTTTATGGGACACATTTCCTTTCTGCATGCACCCTCCTCTTAGGCTCTTCTCACACAGCTGCCCTCCAGTAGTTTGCAGCTAGCCAGTCCTACAAGCAGCAATCCCACTAAGAAGGGATTGCTAACACTGCAGAGTACAGCTGTCAACGTTAGAACTGGCTATTGTGAGAATCTCCCACCATCTTGGGAGACCCTTTCTATATATTTTTCATTAATTAAACTTGCTGAATGAAAAAAACAAACAAACAAAAAAACCAAACAACAGTAAAACACATGCAAAATCCATTGCCCTTTCTACTAAAAAGTGTGTGCTATATTTCTTGCAGCTTGGAAATATCAAAAGCACCAGATACCCTAAAATGAGACCAGCCTAGTTAATTCTTAAGTCAGATCTACTGTAGACACACATCATCAGGTATGAAGCACTGTCTCTTTCTTTGGGGAACATGAAGTTCCTGGTCAATACCAGCTGCTGAATGCCAGTACTGGCACCAGATCTTTTGACACCAAGGGGCTCAGGCTGTAAGAGCCAGAGGTTTTAGTTCAATTCCTGCCACTAGAAAACTGCTCCATGTAAAAGGACAGCCACTGAGTTGTGTTCTGAAATTCTAATTCTAACACTCCACAGTGTGTGGTGGAGTCATGGCGGACAGCATCCAAGTTAATCACGTTTTGGTCATAAAAATTCAGTAAGTGAGGGAATCCCAGAATTTACTGAATTTCAGATGACAAGAGACCATAGCAGATAGGAAATTCTATTTAAAGATTTCTCAAAGCAAGAGGAAGCTTTCTACAGATATCAAGATCTTCAGATTGTTCATTCAGCAGTTAAACCTGCAGCTCTAAAAAAAAAAAGCAGCATGCAATGTTGGACTTACACTGTTCCACAACCAATAGCCAGATGCAGTGTTTAATGGCTGCACTTATGTGCTTATACCAGGCCAGGGAATTTGGTCATTTCTTAAGGCTCTACTTACCTTCCCGCTAGTGACCACATATTCCATTTTTACTTTAGTGCTATATTCATGAGAGGCTGATAACTTCTGGCAGGAAGCTTCCTAATGCCTGTTCACTGTTCTTCATAGGAGATACCGTGTCAAACCATACCTGCTTTCTATTTTCAGTCCAACCCTGCTGAATCCTCAGGAAACAAACCTTTTGTTATCAGTTTCAACTCCCAGAATGAAAGCTTCAAGAAGGATCCTGAATTCCAATTTCCTTTCCCTGCCTGTTTGTTATACATTAGAAGACAGAAACCTTCCTTACACCACAGCCTACACAACTGCATTACAGTATCAAAGCCGGAGGGCCATGAAAAGTCTCAAAGGAAATTCCCTCATCCTGGCAGGAGGGCATGCCCTGGAGCATGGGAGCGACTTATCTTTATCACTGTATATACTGGATTTATTGCAGAGTAAAGGTTTTACTAGTTCTCATTTCTAATCTGTTTGAATTTTCACTGAGTTGGGTGTCTCTGAAGTTACGTTCTAGGATAGGGAACGTCTTTCTGCTTTTGCACAGGTTGCTTGGTAATCTCATCACATAATCCCTGCTGTCATGATGGGGCATATCTATTTCCTTTAAATGATAGATGTTGTTCACTCTTCTAGATGCAAGACATACAGGTTCAGGGAGGTCAGCCTGTGGTAGATAGCAGCAGGGCAATAGCAGCCCTATTTTCTCAGATCTCTACTTGTTGAATCACAGCCCTGTTTCCTAATGTGTCTGTTTAGAGAAGAGTGTGGGAAAGAAGTAAATGCTCTGCATTCCCCAGGCATAAAACATATATAATGTTTTTCTAAAAGCTCACGTTCTGGTGTTCTAGACTTAACTCAGATCAAGGACAAAGGCAGTGTCAGACACACACTGTAAGCAAGCACACACAGAACAACTGCATGCATAATCTCCACTGAGGCTTTGTCTACTTTTCCCGAGCCTTGGCAGGTCTGTGGTCAGCAACATGCTCTAATACATTTCAGGCAACATCAGTCCTTGCCTTCAACTTGGAGCACAACAGCTGTAGCTTTCTGTAGGTACAATCAACCTGTGAGTGACTTCCGAATAACAAGTGGACTACAGTCAAACAGAGACCACTGACACAGAGATTAAGGAACGTGATGCTAAGGAAACAGAGATAGAAAGGGGACCTGCTTTGAGACTCAGATGGAGCAGTAGATGGACCCTTCACAAGCACAGCATCACCATTACTGTCTGCTGCACATCCAGATGTTGGGGATCCCGTCTTTCCCCCTTCTCGCACACTGAGGTCAGTAACACCTTTTTCTCCTGGATAAAAACAACGATCTTTGGAGGAAACAAAGGCACTGAAATATTCTTACACTGCAGTACCGTTCCACCTCCCTCCAGACCATTTCAAATAGGTTACAAAAAAAACCAACAGGCATGAGACCAAAACTGACACGACTGAGGATGAAGCTGACCTATCTATCACATGATGAGTGAAAGGAATTGGCACAAGTGTGGGTTTCTTCTTGTGTGACAGTGTGGGCTGAAGGGCTGTGCAAGTGAGAGCACACAATCTGCACAGGTCATTTTTTGTGGGAAGATGACTCTGAAGCCATTGCCAGGCTGAAAGACTTCTCCCAGCCCAGCTCTCTTAGGTGCCTCCCACCTCGGTTTGGCAGCCCCACTCCAGCCCAACCCCAATTGCAGATCTATGCATTTTTCTTTACCTTGAATCCTAATTTTTCTGGGAAAGCACTAGAGAAGATCACCAAGCATTGCGCAGACCAAATATTTCACCCAAGTTAAGTCTGTTGCTAACTGCAACTTTTCCTCTGTTACATTTTTCTAGTTACACTGCATCTCTGTTTTTTCTTTATCCTACTTTTTTTTGCTGAGCCACAGACAAGGACCACCACAGACACTGCTCAGAAGAAAGACTGCTCTCAGGCCAAGTCTTTTGGCAGTAAGAGCATTATGGTTGGTGTTTAGAGAGAAAAAGCACAGAGCTGCAGCTAGAGTGGGACTGGAAAGTTGGCCTTGGAGAAACTGTTCATCTGTGCAGTGGTTGCAGAACTTGTCCATGGCTTAGAAAGGGACAGTAGTGCTAAGGTTCATAAAGGAGGAAGCTAAGAGCTATCTTTAGAGTGGGGCTGGAAAGGGACTGTCAAAGGCAAGCTGGAGATGCTGACAGTTCCAGGCTTGCAGAAATCTTTCATGTGGGCATCTGCTGGAGGACCTTGATGAAGCCTGCCCTCAGGAGAATTATCACCAGGGCTCTCACAACCACACTGGTAACAGATTTAACAGATGCGCCTACTTCAGCCTCCCAGGGCTAAACAGGGCAAACTGAGGAAGTGGTGTCCTGCTAGCCCTGTAGTGTTCGTCTCACCTCAGTCAGGTCTCAGAAGAGCTTGTTGAACTATGTACCAAAATGTCCCTGAAACTACCAGGTTATGACAGCATCTCCGGGTCGGACAGGGACTGCCCTGCCTTGCAAGGAAAAGCTAATGTGGAGCCAGTCACACACAGCCTCATCTGCTGGTTCCTCAAGGCACAGGCCTGTTTTTAATCACTGGGGCCTGCAGCTGAGACTGAACTTGGCAGCGCTTCACTCCATTTGATGATCCCGCTGGAAGACATTAAAGTCTTTTTCTTCATTCAGAAGAAGGGGAGCCAGTGCCATCCAGTCACACTCCAGACAGAATTAGGCTGGAAATAAAGCCAAAAGATTGCTAGCAACCTAAGGGTTAACTTTCCTTGTAATACCCTTATCTATAGTTAGGCCCTTTTGTTTGGTTTCAAAGCAGAAAAAAACTCCAGCGTGCCTGGAACCACATCCTTAATCTCAGAAAGATTCAAGAGATACAAAAAAAAAGGGGCTAGCAGAGCTACAGAATTTCTTTCCTCCACTCCAACAAGCTGCCTCTGTTCTTTAAAGATTTAGGTGACTCTTTGTGGAAAAAGCGAGCCAGGAATGATGTACTGACTAAGACACAGACAGGCTTTCTGTCCTGGCCTGAATAGCTCACCCACCAGCTCCAGGCATACAAAGCCTATACATTCAGCTATGCTGTCCAGACATGCAGTGGGCAGGAAAATATATGCTCTCTGCTACATTTTTCCTCTTCAGAGCTCTGATTTCAACCAAAATAAACTAAAGACAGAGATAAAGTCAGGTTTTGAGTAGATTTTTTTCATGGGGAGGACTGAGGACTCCGTATGTGCTTAAAGGGGGAAAAGTCCAGACACACCTACGTCAGCTGTATGTACAGCTTATTACACACACGTTAAAAGATGTGTGGGAAGATAATCAGGCTTACACCTGGATGCTGCTGTACAACAGAACATACACCCGCGCACGCATGTGGTGCCTCACAGACAGGCAGTTTACGGATATAAAGATTGTGTACGTGCTCACCTGCACAGGTAAGTGCCTGCTTTTACCTTCCCACTTTCATTCTTAGTTTCCCATTTATCTGTCCCTCTCACACATGAAAGCACTGAGAAAAAAATCACGGGCAGATATTCAGAAATGCATTTGCTTCTACAGCACAAAACACACACAAACCTATAACTTGTTTCCCCTCCCCTAGCCCACCCAAGCACACACTATGTGAATTACTGCAGCAGCAACAGAAAAAAGAATTGCATGGAAGGAGCCATA